CTAGTTCTAGTAAATTTAGAGAATGTTGCTTAAAAAAATCAGCTAAGAGAAGTTTTTGTATCTTAAAATTATTAAATAACATTTTCAACTTTATTTGGTAGCCTGAATTGTTATTAAAAATAGTTTTGGGTGTATATAGATTTTTTTAAATATTTTAAGAAACATAAAGAAGTTACTGAAAGTTTACCTTGGACCACCAGAAAGAGACTAAGAATAATTTCTCAGGAATGTAATAAAAGCCATTCTCTTCCGTTGAGAAATGCTTTATATCTTACATTACAGCTAGGTAGAGGATAATGGGCAATTGAGAATTTCCTTTAAGATTTTATGAGCTAAAAACTTCTAAAATGACATTGCCAGGAATTTATCCAAAATAAACCTTTTTTATTACGGAAGTAGTTATTGTTCAGAGGGAGAATATTTTAAAGTAACACATTTATTACATTATTTACATTATTACATTATTTACATTATTATTTATTTACATTATTATTTATTTACATTATTTATTTTTTACATTTATTTTTAAAGAACAGTAAATATTGAACCTAGAACAGTTAGTAAAAAAATTGCAACGATCCTTTCTGATTTGCAATATATTATTTAATTTAATAGATTTCTAATTTACTACTAAAGCTTGTATCAAGTGACTGTTATCATGTTTAACTGTCAAAACTGCGATACGTGTTTTTCTATTCTTGGAGGTACAACATCAATCTAAGCGCTCACTTTGTTAACAATATTGATCCTAATATTATTGGAGAGCAAGCTGGTCTAGTGGTAGAGCACGGGACCTCGGTCCCTGAGGTCGTTGGTTCAAATCTCACTAAATCATCAATGGATTTTACAAGTGATAATGCCACAACCCCTAGGTCTAGCCTGAAGAAATGTGAAAAACAATCCCGGGCTCGTGCCATCGTCTTAGGAAAAAAAAAATTGTTGGATATAAAATAATATAGGACAATTTGTAAAAAATAAGATTATTCCGAAAAGCGTGTAAAAGCCCAAAACTAAAATACATAACTCAAGGGAAATAATTTTTTGGGTTTCACATTGAAAATTGCAAAGTGTACAATGCACGAAACATGCAGTAAACACTCAGTAGGCTACAAAATGATATTCGTGCTAAGCAAATTAGATTTTTCAATTATTATTACCTAAATATATATACCTAAGCAATATCAAATAACATACCACAATGTTTGACAGACCTTATGCACAATCATTATGGACTAACAAACTAAAATTAAAATTTATTTATTACTAGATGGACATTCAGTTTCAGGACTTGTTATCTTTCACAATAATTTGTAAATATAAGGAAACAAATACGATTCCTTGTAAGATGTCAAAAATTTTTAAAACCATTTCAAAACCTGTTGATAGTTTAGGAAAATTTTTAAAATCATACCCTCGAATATAATTATTTAAAGCTTTATTTGTTATTTGTAATAGGAATGCTCTTAAGTACTAAGTAATTTAAATTTGGTCTAATCACGGAAATGTAATATTTCACAAGACTTGCGACACGTGTTATAACTCAAGTTTATTCACATGATTAGTTTTATCTCGCGTTGTCAGGCAGCTAACTCAGTTAGCGTGTGGAACTGAGGGTAACTTTTCGTGTGAAGGGTTTAAAGCTGGTACAGCTGCATGACAGCCTTTTACTTTGGAGCATACAGTGATTATAACAAATTTTGAGAGTAAGGTTTCATGTCTTTAAGTATAAAATTGTTACTAAACACCTCAGTAGGAAAACTTTTTCTTAGTGTGGAATTGTATAAAGACGACATGCTAATGCTATGTTTGATCGATGCTAAAACTAGAGACACTAAGCATTGATAGGACCCTTAGACCAATTTTTGTACGTAGTAGTATTGGGTTAGGTTGTTAACGGTAATTATATTTCCGAAATACCATCGTTTTCATTATATTTTTTTTTCTGATAATATTTTTATACTCCAGATATTTTTTATGTAAATTAAAATGTACGGTCACATGATCACAAACAACAAACACATCCAACTATTATATTATTATTATAATTATTATTATTGAAACAAATGATGACTATAATTTACCAACACCCTTTGTTAAGTGAACAAGTAGGTTAAGTGAAACCTACAGCCAAAGCGGAACACACGACAAAGTAAATTAAGTTATATTGTGTTGGTAATTACGGTGATCCTGGCAACCTCAACAAGGGTTTATATCATATGAAGTATAATATTATCCTATTTTAGTATACAGTATTATCTCACCATATGTATGAATAAAGAATGAAGGCGTCAGATGCACATTACGTTGGGTAGTCGGGGATAAATTCATCCGTTGAATTATTCAAATAATATTTACAACTCCTCTTAAGCTTTAAGAGTACTCTTTAGCACAGTCTGTTGGTCACCGAATAAAAGTGCTATAAATGTAAAGTCATGCTTATTCTACAAAATTTACAATAAACATATGTCTACTGTAAGATTGGTAAACTGAAGCACACAAAGTATATTTTGGTTTTTAAAGTTTATACAACTCTATGAATAAAATAAATTTAGCTGAACACAGTAATAAAACTGTAATTAAATAAAATGTAGATTACCCTTTGATAAAATTATAAAGCCATATAACGCTTTATATAAAACCAATAATTTAATTTGCACTTAAAAGCATTTATCCTAAATTTTTTCTTCAAAATACAACAAAAAAGGTAGGAATTACCTTATGATTGTTTTTACATGTTGACAGAAATCAAATAATTAATTCGTTTGCTACACTATTATATACTCTATTACATATATAGTCATGTGACCATGGTGCTGAAGCTCAGATAAAAAAATATAAAACGAACGTTTCTCTTCAAGTGTTTACCGAACATTACCAATCGGGATGAATTCATTCCACATCCACGGGATGGAGAATTTCAATGATAAAAACGTATTTGATGTTTTTGGTACCTACTCATTCTTTTCTTTTGATGAACTTTATATTTGAAAGCTTAGAATATATAAGATTATCTAATAAATGACAGTTCTCACTCTTCTCCATCTCTCAATCAGTTTCTCCCTAAGTACAGTCGGAGGATATAAAAGTGTCCAAGTAGATGTTTTATCACACCGCGTGTCCCCGACTACTCGTTCTGCAGTTTATTGCTCGTTTTTGTTCAGTTCTGGTCACAATAGAAGACAAGAGCTGCAAATAAACCACAGCTGCAGCTAAAGTTCCGATAATTGTGCCTCACGAAACTCTATGGAAGTTTCATCACTAAGCTTCGTTATCAAAATTGAATGAAACGAAAATTGTTAAGTGTTTGAAAAATATGGTTACGATGGATGTTACTAGAGATGAAACTCTTTTTCAGATCATTATGGTTTCAAATTATTATCCTATTGATGTTACCATCAAACTAATTATTTAAGGATTTAATATGAATTTAATTATTTAAAAAAATATTTAGCCTAATCAAATCATCTTATTTAGGACTGACTAATAATGTTGTATTGCTACAAAAGTATTTGTATGTGTACACAGGTTGTGATATTGACAGCTCTCATGTTAAAAGACATTGGTATGAATCATTTGTAAAATTTTGTAAACGTACAGTTTGTTTATTTTCCAGATTTTTTATTGCAGCATTGTTAGTTAATGTTGGAAGGGTTATATTTTATATATTTTGTTGTTACATTTTACTTGCCTTAGCTGAAGCAGACGTACATTTATAATACAATGCTTTTTTGCACAGTAAAATGTTAACGTATAAAATGTTAGATTTTTCATATTCTTATGTCGGAAAGAGTTTCTCGAACTACCAAATAACGGAGACAAACCACATGTCTTGAAGGGACGAGGATTGATAGTGGTTACGTCATCAATTTAGTGACGTCACTTTCGTTAGATGTATGGATTATAGATTACAAGGGTTCTGTAGTGATAAATATGGCTTGGGCCACAAATACTAATGTTTCAAATTTTTTATCCCACAACGTCGCCTTATACATTTTACATAGTAATAAGTTCTTTTAATTTTTAATAAATGTAGTTTGTAAGGTAAAAGAATATAAAAATAAAATAAAAAACTACAAGCAAATTGTGGAAATCAAGTCTTATTAAGAAGTCATTAATAAGATGATTTCAGCCAAATTTTAAATGGATTGTGGATGCGGTTTAATTTAAAACAAATTATATCTAAATGTTGGATATTTAACAATAATCTTTAATTGTTTATATGAACAGTTCTAAATGTTAACTGTAATTTTGTATTTCAAACATGAAGTACTTAAAGCTCTTTTTACTGTGTTTTAGTAAAAGTAGTAAACTGAATGTGTTCAATGCCAGAACTTCAAACCGATGAGTTTATTTTTCTTACTAAATGGTCGAAATATATAGTTAATAGTAGTATAATTAATACATCGTCCTTTTGAATAGACCACAATTATTCATAAGTGATGACAGAATATTCGACAGTTCTCTTCATTGTCTACTTTCATTATCAAGGGGGAGAGGGAGGTAAAGTAAAATGTTACCTTATCAAGAAATCAGATCCTCGTCAGGAGGTTGCAAAGGTGAGTACGTGTAACATCTTCGGCATAATTTTTGATCAAAAGCTGAAAAAAATTATTATTAAAAATTAATATATATTTTAGGAAGTAACGTCCCTTATATTTGCCAAAAAATTATTTGACTTTTATGGATGAATTAAGATTTATAAATAATTGCGACTAATGTAGCATTATATATATTTTATTTTATTTTAAATTTTAGGCTGTGCAATAATTACACATATTCTAGGCGTGTTGATTCTCATTTTTAAATAAATAGATAAATGAGGTGTGAAATAATCACATAAACTTTACTACGCGTGTGAAAATTAGAGTATGATAACCAGAATAATTTGTTATGGTTTTAAATGAACATCTTATTAGCCTAGAAACAATTAATAACTTACTAAAATTGTACACCTAAATTTTATTAGCGTCTTATAATTAATTTGTCTTTTTTTATTTCAGAGGCAGACAAATTACTGACAAGGTATGTACCTTAGGTTCTTAATACTATTAGATAGGCTATATGGAGAGTGATCATATCTTCAAAATGATTTTTAAAATCTTCATTTTCGTTGCTAACTGAAACGAAATAAAGTAGCTAGCTGTAAGGGCTTTTTGCTATCGTAGTTGCAATACAATTGAAAACAAATACTTAGAGCTCATGTTAATTAACGGTCAATTAACGGTTACTTATAAATGTATTAAGAGAATAATTAATTTGCATTTTCACCGGTAAATGGGGTTTTCTACAACACAATATTACAAGTTTTACATCCCAAAAACTAACTGGGTAGATATTTTTAATAAAAAAGCCAACACCTGGCATTCATTAGTATTAAACGACTATTGTCAGGCCCAATTAACGGCCATCGCAGTATTGAGAATTTAACCCTCCCGTTGGAATAAATTGTATGACATTACAGTACTATTTGATCGTATATATTTGAATTACAACTAGTCAAGTTTTAGTTAATGGACCATAGTTTTGTTTTATAGTCATTTATACAGTAACATATATTTTCAAAACGATATCATGATAAATTTACAGTTGATTAAATCTAAAAATTCTGAAGCCCACAGGGTCACACTATAGAAAAATGTATTTTACAATACAAATATCTTTCTGAATATAATTATTCATTAACGTAGTTTAAAATCTTCAACCATCAATTTTATACGGTAAAACAAATGCTATGACAATTTTAAAATACGATCAAACGTGTTTTGAAAATATTCCCGCAAAAAATTATGTAACTGAAAGTTTCTGTTAATCTATAGAAAATTGAATTAATTCAGTTAACTACTAAGGTTAGAATGCGGTTTCCTATAAACCACTCCTTAAACAATTAGAAGTGAAGTGAAGAGTTCTACTGTTTGCTGCTTCATTTAATTAGGACGTATTTGGTCGAAACGTCCCAACTTGTGGTGAATGGCCCCGGAGGTCGTATTGTTTGTACGGAAAACTTTATCGGACACTTAAGTTTGGTTTCTCATCTGAATCATGATGGTTATTTCACTAGCTACCGTTTTGGAACTGGTGTGACATTTCGTATCGTTAGTGTTTGTGATTCATTGTGTAATTCATGATATTATTCATACCACAGTTTCTTTGGATTTAATAAAATCTCTATTTCTGTAATCAGTTTTGTCTTTATATTTATGATTCACAATTCAGCCTCAGCTGACTTTTTCATATAAACTATCAATTAGGGGATACGACACTTAGGTGCGTATGTTAAACCAAATGAGTGAAGGATGAATGTAGAATATTGGGAGATGATCTGAGTAGCTTTGTTACTGACTAAGATCAGCTGTTTCATCAGTCAGGATTGTTATTTTTAAAACCCAATGATCAGGAACAGCTGGGTCCAGTTTTGAACCACCAAAGGGCGACTGACTCTTTCTCAGGATCGAACCGGTGTTGATTTTCAGGTGAACACTACACCACTCAGCTAACCAGCAATAAATTAACGGTAGTCCTAACTAAGTAACAGTTGAATATAATTAGTCGTGTGTAGTAGTTAAGTAGCTAGTGCTACTGAAACATTTAAGCATATTACATTAAATTTAGTTTGACATACACCATTGTACATCGACTTAGCTTTCATTCTAAAAAAGGTTTTTCTTTTTCCATTGATTCATTTTGTTGAGTAACTACTATTACGTATAAGCTGAGTGTATTGTACAAATAAATCGTAATTTTGACCCTCTACTGTCATTAGTGGTACTGAAATAAACATTTGTTCTTAATACACTGTTAGGTCTAGTCTTGAAGAACGTGGAAGACTACTTACTAATAATATAAAACAAAGAATCAATCGTTTTCCCACTAAATGTTATATGTTTCTCTGTAACGTATTAAACAACCATTCACAATCCTTACACACATGTACGTGTACATCACGACTGTGTATCATGTGGCTCCGCAATACATATGAATAAAGTATGACGTCATTGGGATTCGCGTTATACACAATGGCCAGTGATATTTCTTCCTCTTCTTTTATTCATATCGCATTATTTCTTATGAGCCCCACAGACCTTGGGCTTGATATGCCTTTCAATCAAAGTCTTTTTTCAAATCATTATACCCACTAGATATCGACTGCATCCGACTGTTGTTTTAGCATTGATTACAGGATTATCCAAGTTTTTTTTAATATGAAAAAATGTTCATGTTTTTATAATTTTAATGTGAATAATGATGTGTAAATGTATACTTTTAAAGTTACATATGTTATAATTCGTAAATCAACATACCTTCAAGGCATAAAGGTTGTATTTGCGGTTTTACCTTTGTAATTGATTTATATCTACATTCTGGATCGTTTTCTTTTCAATTCAAGTCAATGAGAGTTTTATCTCTTGTCTATTGTTGAATAATTTATTGTGTAGCATAAAAAACACAACAATTCAAATCTATTAATCAACGTATTACGATAAATAAGGTTTCATTTATCGGATTGTTTGCTTTAATTTACTAATTTGCATATATCATTAAGCCATTTTTCCCCTATAAGTAGTAAAACGAGTATATTCATCAATAATATCTAATAATATTACATGAAGAGAAGTTACATATTGAAACCAATCAAATTTCCATTGTTAACTAACTCCCCAGATATTTCAGTTTTCAGGATAAAAATTTCAGTTCTATTGGTACCAATAATCTACATATTTGATTGCTTATACCTCGATATAGTTTTGGCAACCGTTTTTTGTGGACTCTTTGTTATTGAATACAATTTATAGGATGATTAAACGGTTGAATTATTCATCCTCTGCAATATTTTATACTAATTCTCCATTATTGAACGCTCTTAGTATAGCTGTAGTTATTTATTTATGAATTAATTACAATTTTAAAAAATAACATGTTTATTTGTGTAACTATACTATTTATTACCACAAAGTGTTTATACATTATTAACAGTTAAAACTTATTCATGAATCTTGGGTTCCGAATAGTTTATTTTATTAATTAAAAAAATTTATTGGTGAGATGCTCCTTTTCATTTTACAACCATATCTGGCATAAGCCTGCAATGTGAATTTATGAAAATATCCTTGTTTTATGACAGGTCACCATACCAACATTAAAAATTGGCAAACTATTATGTTTATAACTAAAAACGGTTTCCCAGGGAAATTTTCTTTACTTAATTAATCCTACTTTTCATTACGAATAATATGTTATGCTTTACAATATTTTGACAACAAATGCTGTTTGTGTGCGCTTCTAAAACAATGTTACAGCCTGGGATACGGGTCCTAACCAATCTCCCCTTAAACAATTAGAAGTGAAGTCGAGTTTTATTACTTTCGGCTTTATTCAATTAGGGCGTATTTGGCCGAAATGTTCCGACTTTGAACGCTCCCAGGGGGGTAGTTTGGCTTTAAGACATCATTGATGGCAACGTTATTTTCAGCCAAACATTTTCAAAACTTTTGCTACGCTAAAATCAAATGATTTTTTTTATCTAAGGAAAGAATATAGAAAATATAGAATAGGTTCTACTGAGCTTAGTATTGTCATAAAGATACATAGTTCTTTACTTATTTTGTAATTAATATATTTTTTTTAGATTTTATTTAACATCTGAGTTCCAAATACCCCCTGCCAAAAATAACCCCCCCCCCCCCTCACAGCGTAACAAATTTAATCAATAATTCCTAAACAAAATATAAGAGACAAAATTTAATCCAAACTTAAAAGTCATAATTTTTTGCTTGTTGTTGATTTGTGTGCAAAATTATAATTCAAACCACACTGAGATAGAATAATAAAAACGAATAAATTTGTTTCATAACAACTAACCAATGCACGAATATGAACATTTCATGCAAAAAAGATTGGATAACCAAGTACCAAGTGTAACGCTTCCTAATTATATTTAACAAGACTCGTCTTCATGTTCTACAGCAGCGCTCCTTGTGGCGTGGTAGGAGGGGGTAGATACAACGCTCAGTTTTATATTTACCCTATTTCCTATATCAACGTCATATTAGACAACGGAAACATTAATAAAATTTCATTGGGCAATACATTTTTGATTATGAATTGGTATTGTCTCATTACATGTGTTTCACCGGTATTTCAGAATTTTTACGTCTTTCTATTACCAAAGTTGTTAACACATAAGATAAATAAAAAAATAATTTCTGTAGAAATCTTATCCTAACCCGTTCGCAAAACCATTGTTACTTTTCGTTTATGCAAAATTATGGAGAAATTATAAAATAAACTTCCAACAAAACGACTGAATGCATTAATATATATCTTGTGCTATGTATTTAAACAACATGGCTGATTTAGCTGCGGGAATAAAATTTTCTAAAGAAATAAAACATATTCAATGTTTTCATTATTTCAATTTTCATAAGAATATTGTATTATTTTAGGAAGACACCCCTTACCCCCTAATAAGTACACTGCACTAGTTTTAATCAAAGCAGAAAATAACATTCATACGCTATCCAACTTATAGCCATTAGCGTTGTTGAGGTTTTTTTTTAGTTTTGTTTGTTCAAAATTAAAATACAGCTTCAAGCATAAGCAAAGCTGGATGTAATTTTTTTACTTGAAAGTCATAAAAGAAAAACATGAACTTACAATGTTCTCTTTACAAAGCCTGTAAGATACCGAGAAAAGCTCAGGAATGCAATAAAAGTCATTCTCTGTTGCTGAAGAATTATTGTGTTATATTTTAAGCTGCTGCTGGTGATAGAATATAATGGACGATCGGCATAATCCTTTTAGTTTGGTAAAGTAAAACTTCTAAAACTCTTGCCATAGCAGGTAAAAAAAACCTATAATTTCTTGCCAAAAAAAGCAACGATCACCCTAAAGCTCAAGAAAGGTTTACGATACAGAATATTTTTATATTTGACACAAGCAAAGTTTCTGGGTGTGTGAGAATAAAATTCAGATGAAATCATTGATCTCTTAGGTTAAGCATGTATGACGTAGGCACGTAGTTATTG